GCACCCCTGACAATCATCCAGTGAGCTTAGAGGATACCAAAACAACGCTCCACATCCTTCCTACACCCCTATTGACAGCTTGCTAAGTGTTTTTCCTTTGCACTTTGCGGACGTGGCACTGTTTTAACAAATGATGACCACTTTGGGTAAATGTTGTCTGCTAGGTAGTATGGCCCGTCGTACATATGTCCATTAACGCAGTACGTGACTTTTGGTGCCTTTCCTTGCAGGACATCGTTGAACATTGTGGATTGGGCAAGGACATTTAGGTCATTTTGAGCTCCCGAAACCCCAAAAAAGGCGTGTCAAATCCATGTATCAAAAGATGTCACCGCCTCTAAAATGATACTTTTTGCTCATTTTCTGTCCCCATAAGCGCATTGCCATGCACTTGGACAATTTTTCCACGTCTAGTGCATACAATTGATGCTTTCAATCATCCCAGGAAAGCCTCGCACCTCTGCCTTCATCAAAAGCCTTTGCAAGTCCATGTTAGTAGCTTTCCGAAGGTACTCTACGGTGTAGATTCGATTGCTCCGTAAAACCTCATCAGGGACTCAAGAATGGTTAATTTCCCCATCCTCGCTATCTCATCCACTTGGTTTGTAAATGCTCCATATGCAAGCATCCGCATCGCAACATTAATTTTTTGCTCAGGAATGAGACCCATATCACCAAAAGCATCATTCTTTTGCACAAAGTAAGAATCATGGTTGCAAACAACAATCATGATTTTGTTGAACAAATGTCGTTCCATTCTAAAACGACGTCTGAAATACGTATTAGGGAATGCACTGTTACGGACAAAATCGTCCAAGAGGTCCACACCTCGTTGTTGCATGTTTCTATCAAGGTTTATGGAAAGGCTGGGCTTGGAGATCTGAGCCACAACTTGGATGACTCGACAGGAATGTGAGGCTCTAGCCATTCTTGCTTCGTCATTGCTCTTTCTACGCTCTTCATCCTCTTCCATCTCATTTTGGGCCACCTGGAGATTGAACATTCTTTTGGATTGGTTAAACAATTCTTCCTCTTACTGATTGATGTGATAAAAGTTAAGCACTCAAATTAAACCCTCTTGTTGTCAAATTGTAGTATAAATGCAAGTAGGGATCATTCTAAACCGGGGATTAGGAGGGCTTGCTAAAACCTCTAAACTGACTCAAAAACATAAAAACAAAGTTAAAAACATTTGAATAGACTTAAGGAACTCAAACCAGGTTCAAAATACTCAAAACAACTTAAAAACACTCAAAAAATGCCTATAAACACAAACTGGGCAGTTTCTGACTCTAACACAACTTGGGACGACTTTAGTGTTTTGGCTTGAATTAAAACACTCAAAAACACAAACAAAACAGATTTGAAACACTTTGAAACAAGAAAATAAAAGGGGGGGGGGTTTGATTTGGACGAATTTGAAATAAATAAACAAGTTATAAAACCAGGCAGATTGTAAAACGAATTTGAGAAATAAGATGATGGATGGATTAGTTAGAGGTCCGTTTTTCACACATGACACACTTGTACATGAATCGATTTCCAATTGCTTTTTAATAGATTATGATGCTCAACACCCCAGATTAACCGTGATGCACAAATTAACCCTCAGATTTTCCTTTACTCATTGGATTGGATGAATGCATGCAACAACCCAAATCATTCTCTAAAAGTCCCCTACATGAATGCATAATAGAGATACAATCAGAGATCATTACGTTTCATGAAAATCATAAGTGTTGATGAGACAATTGTAACTATGAATGCATGATATGTTTGCCAAGAATTCAATTAACGTGATTGTGACAAGCAACCTTCACTACTAATGCATATAAACTTGTAACGATTAGATGAAACTCATTTATATTCTAGCATCTAATTCATGCATGAAAACTAAGTATGCATCCTTAATAAACATATAAGAATCAGTTATCAATAAAACAGATAATTGAATTGCAATCACAACTTAACAAATCACAATTGGAAGTAATAAATTCATATCTCAAGCATGTTCATGGCTTCAAACTTCCCCCTAACTAAATAGGGGTTTAGCCACTCATGATTACATCAAAATCAGAAAGTAATAACAAAGTAAACATTGAAAACAAGAACGAAGTACACCTAAAACGCTCCAATCTGCAAGCATGAAACACCAATGCCCTTCTTCTTCCACACCTTGCTGCGGCACAAGTGTCTATGGATGTTTATGGGTGAATGGAAGGGTCAGGAATGTATTTAGGTTGAAGGGGGGCTGCGGCAAGGATGTATGGTGGTGGAGAATGGTGTAGAATGGTGTAGAATGATGAACTGTTGCGGCTGAGAGGTGTTTCTGAATGGTAGAGGGTTGTGTATGAATTTGTGGCTGAAAACATCTATTTATAGGCTAGGGTTTTCACAAATTCTGATGGGAAAAGGCTTAGAATTTTGGGCCAAGGCTTGGGCCTCAATCCAAAAGGGAAAAGAACTAGGGTTTGTGCAGATTTTAGGGTTTCTAGAAGGGTTTGGGGCGCCACTTTTGTAGGGAATTCTAGAAACAATGTTATGTGGCTGATTTCTAGAAGAACAAGGCCTAAAAGCATGCAACACCAATGTAGGAACATATAAGGCGTTCTAGAAAGGTTTCTAGGTGATTTAAATCAGAAATTAACTCCCCCTTGCAGCAGGAATTAAGTTAGGAAAAGATTAGGATAGGATAGGATAAGATAATGTTTGTTTGGATAAGATAAGGTTGGATAAGGTTTTGGATAATATCTCATTCTTTTGAGCTGATTCCTTATCTTCTTTGTCTTGAATTTAATTTCTTCATCTCCTTATCAGATTCCTAGCCTTTTGAACTCCAAATTTGTCCATCCAACTTGGCCTATACATGTGCTATCCACGTGGCATGCCGTCATTCGTTAAAAATTTGATCGAAATCTATCCTCAAAGATCCTAAAAATGTAACGACATGTGGCACGACGACATTGGATAAAAATCTTATCGAAATCCATCACCAATAATTATATTTTCAGATAATGACACGTGGCGCAATTAGAACGATTTAAAATATGATCGAAATCTATCCTCAAAGATTCTGAAAAGGTAACGACACATGACACGACGGCATTAGAGAAAAATCTTATCGAAATCCATCACCAATAATTGTCTTTTCGGATAATGACATGTGGCGCAATGAGAACGATTTAAAATCTGATTGAAATCTATCCTCAAAGATTTTGAAAAGGTAACGACACGTGGCACGACATTGGATAAAAATCTTATCGAAATCCATCACCAATAATTGTCTTTTCGGATAATGACACGTGGCGCAACGAGAACTATTAAAAATCTTATCCGAAATTACAAATAAAATTATTTTGTATTATTTAAAAAAAACTAATATTTTATTGCTTATTGCCAGGGCTATTCAAGTGCAACAGTGAAGATGCAAAAGACAATTACTGTTCAAATAGCCTGGGGGGGTTTCCCATGATGGAGTTGCTCTTACAACAACAATTGGGATTTTAACAAACATATATATATATATATATATATATATATATATATATATATAGAGAGAGAGAGAGAGAGAGAGAGAGAGAGAGAGAGAGAGAGAGAGAGAGAGAGAGAGAGAGAGAGAGAGAAGCTTGAAACCTTAAGCCATTTGATCCAAACCCATTTCCCTAAGAGAAGCTTGAAACCTTAAGCCTTTTGGTCCAAACCCATTTCCCTAAGAGAAGCTTGAAACCTTAAGCCTTTTGGTCCAAACCCATTTCCCCAAGGGGCGGTTTCCACCAGTTCTCGTTGAAAAAAGCTGACTTGGGTCGCCGGAGAGTTGAACCACCACCATGGACGTTGACTTGTGGGCTTCCAGGGTTCATGCAGTTAAGAGCATCTCTGTTGCTCATGCTGCAAGGCTTCACTATGGCACTTCAATTTTTTGAATTTTATTTTTTACAATTTTTTGAATTTTATTTTTTACATCGACATTTTGTGTCGAGTAAAATTTAGAATTGGACCTAACTTTCATTGTAATTTAGATTGAACATTGAACATTGAAGAAGAAGGTGCACACATCAAAATACGTTTTTACCCTTGTATTTGACGAATTTAATGAAAAATCACTTTTGGACTAAATTTGCTAACGGACCACATCACGAGGGTTTAAATCCTAAATTTTTTACCACGGGGGCTACTTTCCGATTACCTTAACATCACGGGGACCATTTATCCGATTAGGCCTTCACAGCCTCTAATTCCTGGATTTTTATTTGCAAATAAGTTATTAAAACCATACATTCGTTAAAAAATGTAAATACTTTGGAATACATCTTGTAGTATAGGAATGATTGATTGAGAAGGTGTGTAGAGCTCCGGTATGCTTATTGGCTCGGGTTTCCGCACAACCTTCTTCTCTCGATCTGTCTTTATTGGCAGCGTCACTTGTGGGAATCTCACAAGCTTCTTTGTTTGCTTCTACTTGGAGGTTGCGTTCGGAGAGAGTTTCATTGATGGATTACTGGTCTTCCTTCCTCCCATCTCTGAGGCGTTAATTGGTCGGAATTTTGATGTTCGTTGGTGTCCATGGTTCATGCTGCTCGGGTGGTGCTGCAGCAGCGGATGTAGCAGAAGGCTAAGGCTTTCTTTCGGTGTTTGTTTTTGGGCCTTAGCCCTTTTTTAGGCCCTTGACATGTAGTTTGTAAGGTCAATTTTTGCTTTGTATAATTGTATTTATAGTATGGGCCCTTGTTAGCTTTGTTCTGTAAATTTTCTATGGCAATGATAATAAGGGGATTTTAACGAAAAGCATCCGGTACTGTTCACTTTAACGAAAAACTACATTTTTACACTAAAAAGTCAATCCTGGTACTATTCACTTTACCCTTAATTTTGTCCTTATCATTAAAACTCAAAGTTTTCAAACCCTTTTCATTAGTTTTCCTTAATATTAACTGTTTATACCCGAAAAAAAGAAAAAAGAAAAAAGGAAAAGAAAGAGTATGTGAATAGCGATTCTAGGGTTATTATAAGGTTCATTTTTTTTGGGTAGATGTGTGGTTGACTTCCTTTGCTAGTTCGATTCAAAAACCATCTGCCCCTGGTTCCATTTTGCAGTTCCGATTAGACATAATCGTTGAACAGATGGAGAACCCGGGCAGCAAGTACGACGTGTTCTTGAGCTTTAGAGGCGAAGAAACACGCATGGGCATCACGGACCACCTCTACTGTACATTAAAAGACTACAAGTTCAATGTCTTTCTGGACGAGGACGAATTACCTAGAGGGGATGCTATATCAGAAGAACTGACGCGAGCAATCAAAGGGTCCAAACTTGCTGCCATCGTGTTCTCAAAGCGTTATGCGGAGTCCAGATGGTGTCTTCAGGAGCTGGTGCAGATCATGGAGTGCAGAAAACGGGGTCAACTTGTTTTTCCGATTTTCTACGATGTTGATCCTTCAGATGTCAGGCATCAGACTGGTAGTTTTGCAACCGCGTTTCAGAACCATGAACAAAAGTTTACGGAAGAAAAAGTCCAGGAGTGGAGAGAGGCACTTACTGCAGCTGCAGAGTTGAGCGGCGAGCATTTTCGAGTGAATAACGGGTAATAACTTGCTTATTTCCTCTAACAAAGTAATTCTTTGAATCGTTCTGTTTTTCAAAATATAATCGCAAAGCTTAGAAACTCTGATACGAGGATTAATATATAAACGCTTGATCTATCTCACTAAATATTAGTGTGTTGGTGATGAATGTTTAGAAGTTTAACTAATATATTCGAATCTTACACACTCCTAATGAATGTTTAGAAGTTTAACTAGTAGATCTTACTTTTTCTTAATTATGAATTTTAATTCCAGGCGTGAAGCAAGGTTTATCAGGAAAGTTGTTGAGGAGATCGCTATAAAACTGCAGAATGGATGCTTAAATGTAGCCGCAAATCCAGTTGGAATAGATTCTCGCCGCCAAAAAATCAGTAATTATTTTGATGTTGGAGGATCAAATGTTGTTCGCATAATTGGAATTTGGGGGATGTGCGGGCTAGGTAAGTCAACAATTGCAAAAGCCATTTTCAACACATACCAGGACAGGTTTGATGGTGCATGTTTTCTTGAAAATGTGAGAAATGAGAAAATGGTTGATTTGCAAAACATTCTTCTGTCTAAAATCTTGAGATCGGCCAACATAAATGTGAGTACAGTCAATGAAGGGACGGAGGAGATAAAAACAAGACTTCGCAACATAAGGGTTCTTGTCATAATTGATGATGTAGACAGTGTGAGACAGATAAATGCATTAGCTATAAAACATGACTCGTTTGGTCCGGGAAGTAGAATTGTTATAACAACAAGAGATAAAAATTTGCTAAAGACACCTGAAGTGGTGGATGATGCATGTTCTCTACCGACAATGAATAACAATGAAGCTCTTGAGCTCCTTAGTTGGCATGCGTTTCGAAAAAGTTCTCCTAATGAAGGATATCTCAAAGTCTCAAGAGAAGCTGTTGATTATTGTGGGGGTTTACCACTTGCACTTGAAGCTGTAGGTTCTTACCTATGTACAAAAACCACAAGTGAATGGACAGATGCATTGAAAAAATGGAAAAGACTACAGCCTAGCATAACTCATGAAATTTTTAAGGTAAGTTATGACGGGCTTACTGATGACAAGGTGAAGGATATATTCCTTGACATATCCTGTTTCTTTATTGGAATGAACAAGCACCATGTCATGGCAATATTGGATGGGTGTGACAGTAATCCAGCAATAGGTATTAAGGAACTCGAGGAGCGATGCCTTGTAACTGTTGATCCAGAAGGCAATCTGATGATGCATTGTTTGATTCGAGACACGGGCAGAGAAATTGTACGTGCTAAATCCCCTAAGAAGCTTGAAAGTCGCTGTAGATTGTGGCATCATGAGGATGTAAAACACGTATTGACGAAAAAATGTGTAAGTACATCCTCAATCAAATTGCATTTAATACATGTTTGTAATAAATGAGAAAAAAAATGCTGATTTTATTTACTGAATTATTTGAAAATTATCCCTGTAACACAGATGACTAATTTAGATTGTTCAAACAAAACTGATGTCTAAGCAAACTCTTGTCACTGATCCAGTACTGGTGCTCTGCACCGGTTAAAGTCTAAGCAAATAACCCTCGTCTTACTTTAGTTTCTTTTGCTTTCTAACAGGAAAAGAAAAAAATCGAAGGAATCACTTTAGATTTTTCAGAACCTGACAAGCTTAGCGTCAGTACAGAAGCATTCAGAATGATGCTGAACCTGAGATTACTCAAAATAAGAGGCGTAAAGTTCACTGGAGACTGCAAACATCTTCCCGAAGAGTTAAGATGGTTAAGTTTGTCTGACTTTCCTCTGCAGGCCATACCAGAAGATTTTAATCAACCAAACGTAGTTGATGTCGACCTGAGTTATAGCAATATAAAAGTCTGGAATGACAACGTGGTACGATACAAACCCAACCAAACTATCAATTCTTTCCACCAGGTTTTTACATACCAACATCATGCTCTCTCTCTTCTATTTGAATTTTGATACTTGTTTTCCCTTTTTGTCTTGCAGTCACTTGAAAAGTTGAAGTTTCTCAATCTTGGTTATTGTGATCACCTGAAACAATCACCAGACTTTTCAAGAATCCCAAATATTGAGATATTGATACTCGAAGCCTGTAAGAGTTTGTCCGAGATTCACCACTCTGTAGTACAATTGAAGAACCTTAAGTATTTATCTGTTGCAAAATGCAAAAATCTTGAGGAAATCCCAGATTTACCAACAAATTTGGAAATCCTGAAAGCGGATGAGTGCATTGCATTGAAAAAGATGCCAGATTTTTCGGAAATGTCGAGTATGGTAGAACTGCATCTGAATCACTCCCCCAAACTCACTAAGATTCTAGGCTTGCATAAGTCGTTAAACACTATGAGAAGGATTCATATGGAAGGGTGCACCAATCTCACTGCTGCTTTTAGAAAAGCAATCCTACAGGTCCTCTCTCTCTCTATCTGCACCCATCCGTATACAGCCTATACATACATGCATTTATTAACTTTTTGTACAAATCTTACTCCATGGCATAGGGATGGAGCGCGAGCAGAAATGGTGATCTTTTTTGCCCAGGAAATGATCTTCTATCAGGGTTTACATGCGTTGACCCTAAGGATGAAATAGTTTCTGCTCTTTTTATCCCCGGAAATGATCTTCCATCAGGGTTTACATGCGTTGACCCTAAGAAAGAAATAGTTGTGCCGCAATGTTTTGGTGATGATGCAAAGGCATTGACTCTGTGCATCGTTTATTCTTGCAACGACTCCCAATCTAGTGATTCTCTTTGCATCTGTGTTGAAAATCGTACCAAAGAAACTGAGATTTCAAGCTCTCCAATGTTTGCCACCGTACTAAATCGCCATGAAAGTAATATTTGGCTGGGACATTTATCAAACAATACGCTTAAAGTGAACGCTGGGGACAAGATAAATGTTGGTGCAAGCTTTGTAGGACACGGGAGTACAGACGATATTCATCTGAGGGTGCAGAAAATAGGGGTTTACCTGGAGCAGGAAAATGTAGTCGATGAATTTTCCAATCCTATGACACTTTCCAGTGAGTATGACAAGGAGGTCAATCTTATGCAAGACGAGGTGAGACTCTTATCTGAGGAGAATCTATCTCGTAAAAGACAGAGGTATGACAAGGATGTCAATCTTATGCAAGACCAGGTGAGACTCTCATCTGAGGAGAATGGATCTCGTAAAAGGAGGGGGTATGACAAGGATGTCAATCTTACGCAAGACCAGGTGAGACTCTCATACGAGGAGAATCGATCTTGTAAAAGACTGAAGTCTAACGGTGTTGTAAGAAATGCACAATAAATTGATGCCCCAATAAACAGCTGCATGGACTAGGAGGAAAAAGAAAAAAAGGTGCGTAAAACGGAACTCGAGCCAGTTTTTTTTGACTGAAAATATGACTTTAGCTTTTGAAACTTAATTTTGTTCACATAAAAACCGACAAAAGTTTTTTACTTGAATAAAATTCATTGATTATAATCCACATCAGCAAATTCATTAGTTATGTTTAACTTTACACATTTAAAATTTTTCGGATGCCCAAAGTGTTACGGCCCTTTTCTTGAAATATTGTATTTTATTCCCAAGATATGTGAAATGACTATTTTGTCCGAGTGGATGTCTTAATTAATTTTCGAGCCTCGACTCGAAACTTATATTCTTTTACTATCTCTAAGTTTAATTTTCTCAGAAGTTAGTTCAATTTCGAAACGAATTTCGAATCGAGACCATGAGGGCATAATTGTTATTTTTGCAACTATGGAGGGTAATTGGGTGATTTCATTTAAATTATTTTAAGCGGGATTAAATCCACATCCGGTCCTCTCTCTTCCCTCATTTTTAGAACACTCCCTCTCTAAACTCTTTTTCTCTCTCAAACTCACTCTCTCTCTCTCTAGCACCAAGAGAAGAAAGCTCTCACTCTCTCACTTACTGGTAGTAGCATATACATGCGACTTTGTTATCTTATTTCTTTGCATTTACTTAGTTATTTTTCATTTATTATAGTAATTTAAGTCATTTTCGTATTATTGTAGGTCCAGTGGGTAAAGATGACAATAAATAATCAAATGGAGCAATTTGGAACAGTTTTGGACTTGGGTTGGATAGCATATGGTTTGGACATTTTGGTGTTTAAAAGGCGTTGAACGTGTGCTAAAATCTGAAGGAATCCTAGTTAAAGAGATTGGAAGTTCAAAAAGAGCTTCCCATGTGTTGCTAGCTGTTTGTGCACTCATGCTTCCTTCACACTACCTTCCCATGTGCTGCTAGCTGTTTGTGCACTCATGCTTCCTTCACACTACCTTTCCATGTGTTGGCTGAAACTGTCGATTCCTATCAGTGGAAAGACAACAGAAAGATAGCAGAAAATGTGTGTGTAAAAGGCCCAAAGTTGCTGCATGTGTTTGACAAGGTGTAAAGACATTGAACACCATCATTTGTTTTGCATGTGTTAGTCCTTGCTTTGTGTTGTTTATCAAAGCCACTTGTATGGTTATTTACTTTTCTGACATGTATAAATAAGCCTTCTTGTAAGGCTTTGCGGCATCCCATTTGAATCCCATTCCATCTACAAGGGATCAGTTTGTAAACCTTACTTTCCAAATTTCTCTCTATCTTTGCTTTAAGTTTCAATGTTTATTTTAGAATATTTTTCGTTTATGATGAACATGTGCAACTAAGTTTTTTTTACAGCTAGAGATGAATTCGAAGCCATGATCACATGTTTTATATAAATTGATTACATCCAGTTATTGTTTCATAAAACATGAATGTGATTTACTTATCTGCTTTATAGAGAACTTATTCTTGTATGCTTGTTAAGGATGCATACTTAGTTTGCATGCAGGGATTTTATGCTAGAATATAAGAGAATTTCACCTAATTGTTATAAACTTATATTTGTAAGTATTAAAAGTTACTAGTTCTGATTATGTTAAGTAAATCCTTGGCAGGAATATCATGTTTTTCATAGTTATGAATGCTTTGTCGATGCTTATGATTTTCACAGAACTTAATGATCTTTGAGATGTATCTTTATTATGGTTTTCATAGTTAGGGAACTTGAGAAGAATAATTTGGTTGCGTCGCTGAGTCTAATTCAATGGATTTAGCGAGTTAATTAGTGCTATTCACGATTAATTTGGGCATTGTCATTCATGGTTTATAGGAACAATAGTTGGAAATCGATTTGTATGCATATGATTCATGTGTGGAGAAGAATCCTTTAGCTACATTTTAATCCATATTTCATTCACAAGTTAATTTACTTCTTGCCATTTACTTTTGTTTTAATTAAATTCGTCCAAAATCCCCCCAGTCACTGTTTTTTTATTAGTTTAACTTAGTTTTGAGTTTTTTAAGTTCAATCTGTGTTGATTAGCATCACTTCTAATCTCCAGAAGAGAGCGATCCCTACTTACTCGTACTACGATTGCATAATTTATAGTTTAATTTGTGTGTTAGTTTATACTTACATCGCTTACCTTCACAAATCAAACCTAAATTTTACATGTTCGAAGTCTGTGGGATGCAAGGATCAGAATAGTGGTCTTGCATGTGAGATCGGTGCAGTGTGGACCTCGGCACCATTAAAGCAAAGAGCTAGAAGCTCTCAAACTTCATACCCAGGTGAGGCCTCTGTTTATCCTTTGAATTTCCGGGTTTAATCATGTTGTTTTTCACCCTGTGGTGTTAGTTTTATGTTGAAACTCGAGGGTTTCAACCTCTGCAAGCAATTTTCTGTACCTTCGAACCCAGCCTTGTCGACGAATTTCGGTGAAATATCGTTGAGTTAGAAACCGGTGGGTGTCCTAGTACTTCTATTCTCTCCAATAGTTTTTGTGATACTTGGGATGAGGTTTTTAACTCCATAATCGAGTCCTAACCCCTGAATGCACCTTATATCTTTTTGCAGTTCTCGGCGAGTGTGAACGGATGAACTCCAACGAGTTTATGACTGGTGGTGCATGGACTCCACTAGAATCGAACCCAAGTAATTAACCTAGTTGTATGTCAGTTTCTAGCTTCACTCGTTCAATTTGAGGTGGATTCAACCTCTCATCGTCTTAAAAAGGGTCTAGGTAAGTTCCTGATCATATTTAGGACTAAATTACACAAATTTTGGCGTTGAAATCATTCAAATTGGCGAGACTTAAGGAACCAGCGATGGCGACGGGCGATGATCATCTATTAACCTTAATAGAAGGAACTGAATTTCCGTTATCTACTAACGGAGCAGGTATATTTGGTTAACTCACTTAAAACCTCACCATACTGGCGATGGCAAGCGTGACGTCTACTCACTGAACAACGGTGGTGAGTACGACGTTGACGGCCCATGGCGGCGCATGACAGTGCATGACATAATCGCTACGGCGCGTGCATGATCTGTGACCTATCCATAGTTTTTCGGTGTTTTAAATTCACGTGACACCCTCCGTTTGTGCAAATTCATTACCTAAATGGTAGTTTTGGACAATTTTCCATAAAATGTCGATTAAAGATAACTTAGATTTATATGATTATTACTGACTTATTAGAGGATCGAAAGAGTTTAGGCAAGGAGCATATTGAGGAGGGATACTCTACTTACCTATGAGTGGACCCCTTTGAACAACTAAATGTTTTTACGATTATATATAGATATATAAAATCATATATATATATATATATATATGATTTTATATGCGGATGCATATTACTTATGTTAGTCTTTGATAAGACTTGTTGGAGCCGATTTTCCACCACCGTGGAGTGAAACCTGTAGATGAAGAACAGGCCAACATTGTGAGTCTGAGCACCGAGAAGGGTATTTCCTGGCGTGGAGGCTCCGATGCTTAAGTCAATGATTGTAGAGAGGGGTGCAAAGTGTATTTATGGGGGTGTTGATGGGCTTACCTATGGTGAAGGGTCACCAGGCATATTTATAGGCCCCCTATGAAGTCGGTCCACATCACTAGACATTCCCTTGCATAGCTTGGAATAAAGGGTCCAACAAGGAGATCGATCTGACATACGAATGCCATGTCGGAGAAGGACACTTTGTCTTTTCTCCATCGTGGGTGAGAGGAGTGGCTGTGCCAAACTGCCTCGCATGGCACATCACGTGGCCTAGAAGGTATTGTGCAGGCTAGCCTGCGCAGCCTAGTACCTGGACAGCTGGTGGAGTATGTACTCTTGATTGACTTGGTTCTCTCCAGAGTTGATTTGTTTGTATTCGATAGTATCAGGGTATCACCTGATTAGATCGATCCTCTTCGGGGGTAGGCTTAGCTTTCTATTCACTCCAAGTCGTGTCCTAGGGTGCGTGCTTATGTTATGTCCACTGGAGAGGTGATATTGTTGGGTCTTACAAGACTTATGCTTGAATTGTATTTAGAAGATATCTTGAGATCATTGGTGATTTATTTTCATCACATGGTTATCATACATATAGCTAGCTATGGCCGTAGGACTTATTGCAAGTACCTTTTTTCTAATAGAGGCTAGAATGTGCTAGTAGATGCTAGATATCGATCAGGTAGATGTCACTTTACCTGCTTGCTATACATTACGTTATTTGTGATTGATTTACTTTCTTTGATATGATGAGCACGATTGAGTTGGTCTTGACTACTATTATTGTAGTATTACTGTGTATGTAAATTTCACTATACATGTTTTCAAAACAGGGACTATTATGTTGAATAACTTTAAATGTGATAAAACTGGTCCATTTACGTTTTTTTTGTCAACCCCTTTAGGACGTAACGAGAATAAGGAGAATGCCGATGGTGACGAGTGGGCTTGGCAGTGAGGCTTTCATCATATGGATTTAGGATGATGGTTCATTTACTATAGTTTTATCTTTATTGTAATAGTTGCATGATCGCACTTTTGATCATGCATAATACTGTGCTTTTATGTGTTTATAGTTGTGTGAAACTTCTAGTTGCTCTAATGTGATGTGATAATAATGACAGTTAATCTCGAGATAATTCGTGTCCCCAAGTGGGGAGGTTGATAAGCGAACTTGTAGAAGCTTTGGATTTATTAGTGATGAACGTTTTTGTTCAAATTCTTGCACATCATAAATACCTTACTATGGCTTCGTCATTAAGTTGGCATGTGACGTTGTCTCTTAATGGGGTCATATGGTCAATTTAGTGTCGGCCAGCACATTATGGCCTTATAACTTGTGTTATTAGGGTTGCGGTGTGTCAGTTTGGTATCAGAGCATGGTTAGGGGAAACATACATTTGCATTGTATGATGCCAGTAATTGTGCTAATTATTTAATGTCTACTTGGCAAATTATGCCACCTAGGTGTGAACATATTCCTATTTTGGGATTACAACAGTTAACTGAGGCATTAGCCCAACTGATTCCTGATGCAAATCGTGGTCGCACTTAGGCGAAAATTGTCGTGAGTCATGGTCCTTACTTTCTTGACGGTCGTGGAGTCGGGGAAGAAGTTGAATCTTGGTTGGAGCATATGGATGATGTCCGATGGACTAGAGAGTAAGCACAACAACTTTCTTCATGGTTGACAACGCTAAGAATTGGTAGAAGACAGAGCGTCACAACATTCAGGCTGATGAGGTTTGGACTTGGGATCTTTTCGAGGAGTAGTTCAAGAGTAATTTTTTGAGTCTTGAGTTTCAAGCTATCAGGAGATGAGAGTTTTTGGTTCTCGAGCAATGGGATATGTCTGTTGTTGACTATGAGCGAGAATTTTGGCGATTGGTCAAGTATTGCCCGGGTATTCAAGATAGTGCTGATGAGAAGAGAAAGCAGTTTATTTCTGGCCTTAATCCGGAATTGTGCACTTATGCCATTGTTAGCGACGGTGTCACTTATGAGACATCTTTCCACACAGCTTAGCGAGTTGAATAAGTGATTAATTAGAAGAAGGAAAATCAGATAGCGAAGGGTAAACAAACGAGCACTAGTGGTGGTGGATGACAGTTTGGTGTATTTAAGAGTAAGTTTAAGGCCAAAAATATCAAGGAAGCATTGTCCATGGGCGGAATGAAGAGTAAGGTAGCTATTAAGAAGAAAGGTCAGTTTTCTGGGTCTACTAACGGTGGATCTAACAATACTACACCTCATGCCAGCAAGGGTTTTACCAGCAATGGCCGATTCTCTGGCAATGAATCTTGGGGTGGCTCTTTTTGTAAGGACCACATACCTTTCTACACTATTTGCTTCACATACCATGATGGGGAGTGTAGACCGGGTATGAGACTTTGCTTCAATTGTTGTCAGTCAAGACATTTTCTAAGGAATTGCCCTTATCTGAGGCAACAGTTGGGGATATCTTATGAAATGACTTAGCAACTTGAACATGAAGTTCCGCATAATTCATATAAATAGCTTGCACCTTATCCTGCTGATGGGCAATAGTTTTTTCAGCCCAGTTTATATGCCTATCCTTTTATTCACCAGCTTTCTCAACCTGTTATGCCTTAAGTTCCATAATCTTCTCCGCATTTGGTTCAGTAGAATACTTCTTGGGGGTGTTTGTTTGACATCGTTAACATTCACTGGATAGGACTGGACTAATAGTCTGTGTAGTCCTGTGTTTGGCGTAGCAAGGGACTAACTTAAATGATTCTAGGTCGGACTCGCCTCGACTCTGAACTTCGCTAAGCGTCGCTAGCTAGTCCCGACTGAAACTT